TCTATAATATGAACGCAGTTCTGTTCAAAATTGTGTGCCTGTAGCTTTTGTTATAAACCCACATCTTTTTTAAGTAAGAAAAAGACACAAAGTCACTAGTTCCCTATACAGAATTACAGAAGCACAATGCCCTCCCTCTTGCATCACGAAAATACACGCAAGGTACAACAGAGCTTAGATAGATGTTAGATTTAACATCAGCTAGGTTTCCAAAATATTCTCAATTTAGGGAACGCAGAGCCTCGGGATGTTAACCCAGTCTGCTGGGCTCTTATAAAACTAGCATTTTTACTTGGAAGAAAAGGCACACAGACTCTCGGGTTATCCAAGTCGAAAATGCCCTTATGAGGAGCCAGCCGAGTAAACTAATGGTTCGCCAGGCTTCTCCCGCCTCTGCTGGGGCTGCCAGTGGAGACACAGCAGGTAGCCTCCTGTAACACCTTCTCTGTTGACTCATTTGTGAGTCATCAAATTCTGAGCAGAGACATCACGTTGCAATTCTGTTGTTTCAGGAGCCAGAGACGTTGTGTGGCTGCTGCAGACCTGTGTGCGGCCACAGCCGAAGCAGCATAATGATGCGCAGCCTTCTGTGTTTTCGGTCAGACCTTCCAGGGCTCTCTCTGCTGACTTTATGTAACAGACACAACCCTGCCATTTAAAGCTGCAGACACTTCTTCTCTTCCATGGCTCCTTAAAAATCTGTTACTCTTAAACTGTTTCCTCTGAGGACTCTTTTTTCTTCCTTTTCTTTATCATCAGACCACTGATGAATATAGAGTAAAAACTCAAGGAAATGTGCGGTCCTTGTTCATAATCTGGTCCCCCAAGCCCTCCAAAAAAAAGTCTATGAGACAGAATTTTCAAATAACATTTCAGCCGAGTATCATGGTTTCTAGAACATTGCTATTTACATGTGTCTATGCACAAAGGCGTGGTTCTCAACAGGCAGAAAGTTTGGACCGCAGCGGGGGTCATTTTCCAGACTGCAATGGGGGCTATTTCCAGAAGCACCTTTGGTTCCCACAGCTGGGGGCAGGGGAGACCATTACTGGCCTCTAATGCACTGAGTCCACAGATCTGCTAAACATCCTACAGCGTAAAGGACAGCCTTCCCCCCAACAAAGAATTTCCTGGGCCAATGTATCAATATTGCTGAAATTGAGAACAGATCTGCTAAACATCCTACAGTGTAAAGGACAGCCTTCCCCCCAACAAAGAATTTCCTGGGCCAATGTATCAATATTGCTGAAATTGAGAACCCTCAGCATCAACAAAAGACACTCCCTTGAAAAATCAGATCACGTTCCGCATCAATATGGTAATGTGAAAACGGGTGGTATTACTCCAAAAAACTCCCCTTCAAAGAGCCATTCGCAAAGATGCAGCCTTTCAAGGAGAAGAAAGTAATGACTGTCAGGTTCCCAGCTGGGCTTGACACAGTTCCAATGTTTACAGGGTCCCTGTGGATGCTGTACATTTGTAAGATTGGAAATAATAGGCTCCTTTGTAGAATAAATACAGCAATTTGGATCTTAATGGGAGCTCTGACACACACCGCCTCATTTCAGTGGCACCGTGCATTAACCTTTGAAACTTCAAAAATGGAAGGCAACATTTTGATAAAGGTTTCTAAATTACAGGAAAAAATATTAACTGGCTATTAAATAGACAACATAAGGGAAAATTTGGACAGAAAATGATTAGCATGGTCACAGTGAACTCAGAGTTACTGGAACCCAGATCTGAGGTGAGATAGCATTCTGTTTGGGGAAATTGATTTCATTTTTCACAGGCTAAGCTCTAACTGCTCCTTTGTTTTCTTTTTTAGACAGAAATATAATTATTGCTGGGTGGCAAATGGCCTATAAAATGAGAAGCCATATTGTTAGCTTTACTGTTCCATATTTTCAGTTTTATTTACTTTAAAGCTAGGGATTAGGGATAGAAAAAAAGATGAAATCAAATGTCTCCAGTTGGACATCTCTCTGAGATGGCAGATGACATCCAGTCATAAACTTCCACGGCAAAGCAGATCCACCTGTGTCATATGCAATTGAAGTACTGCTAGTAACAACTGCTTCACAGAAAGGTGCTCTTTCTCACCTTCAGAGGTGAATGAAGAACGGATATTTCAGAAGATAGAAGGAAAAAAATCTATGAAGTCTAACTGAAAGCTTGATGGACACAAGCAGCAAACTTTGCCATGGATTCATTACTTATATTTTCTGTGCTGCTCCATAAACTTTCATACCCTATCTCTCATACTCTCTCTCTCCCACTCAGCTCACCCAGAAGCATCAGAAGCATCACTGAATAGCATGGAGCTGAAAGGAGATAAGCAAAGAGATGTAATTCAATTGCACAATTCGAAGCTCTGATGTGATGCCCTTTTAATCAAAACAACGTACGTTTTGAGCCTACGAATATCTTTTATTCAAAGAGTTTCCCTTTATCTGATTGAATTTTAACCTCATGGCCCAAAGATGATGTATGTAGGGTAAACATCCTCATCTCATTAGTCAGGTGGGAAACAGAGTTTCAGGAAGGCTATCTTACACATCCAAGGCCATACAGGTTAGTGGTGGTGCTAGAAATAGAACTCCCTTAGCTAAAGAAGTCACATAGAATCTCATAAAAAAAAAAAAAATTAAAAAAAAAAAAAAGACCTTGAGAAAGAGAAAGGCAACTCCTGACATCCACCCATTGGCCTGGTGTGATCAGGCAAGCTCGGTGTTGCCAAAGGCACCCTGACTCTCACAGACAGACCACGGTGTCCTCCTGTGAACATGAACGATTTCAAAGAACACCAACATCAGACAAGGCTGCTCCATGCCCAGGATGGATCAAGACAAAACGACACTGCCCCATAATCATATCTGAACACTGACAAAATGTCAATGTTGTACAGGCCATAAATACGATTTACTATCCCTCTCCCCTAGCCAAAATGAGTGTTGCTGCTTTAGCACTCACACCATTAGCCTGGCTCTCATCTGCCCTCCCGATACATAAAATGTGTTAAGAGACTTCCTCTTCCTGCCAGCATTCTTATCCAGAGTAAGCCCCACTTCTTTAAATCCTCCCCAAAATCATCTTGTACAAGCTCAAATCCTATCATAGGTTTTTTCTAGCACTCTCTGCAAGGCCCTACAGTTCCCCCGGATATAAGTGCAATGTGCAATTCTGCTAGGAATTTACCCAAGGGATACAGAAATGCTGAGGCATAGGAGCACATGTACCCCAATGTTCATAGCAGCACTCTCCACAGTAGCTAAAACATGGAAAGAGCCTAAGTGTCCATCAACAGATGAATGGATCAAGAAGATGTGGTTTATCTATACCATGGAATACTACATGGCAATGAGAAACAATGAAATCTGGCCATGTGTAGCAACATGGATGGACCTTGAGGGTGTTATGCTGAGCGAAATAAGTCAGGCAGAGAAGGACAAATATCATATGTTTGCACGTATAGGAGGCTTAGGAGGAACTTGACGGAGGAACAAGGGGGAGAAGAAGGGCGGAAATGGTGGGGGAAAGGGAGAGAGGCAAACCATGAGAGACTCTTGAATGCTGACAAAAACTGAGGACTGATGGATGTGGGGGGGAGGGGGGATGGGCATGGAGGAGGGCACTTTGGGGATGAGCAGTGAGTGTTATGTGGAAAATAATTTGACAATAAACTGTAAAAAAAAAAAAAAGTGCAATGTGCAATTAACCCCATTTGTTCAAGAGCAGGTGTGTTCTTGGCAGTCTTTGGCAAGAGACCATTGACCAGCACATAGTAAGAACCAAAGACTCAGCTTTGAAACATGGTTATGGATGACGTTTTTCTAAATCACGGGGAAATCAGAACCCAACAATCCTGGACTAGCATTTGAAAACCAAGGAGAAAGGAGTCCACATAGGGGGATAAAACTGAATTATAAATGAAGGACCCAACCGATTTAAAAGCCTACTTCTATGTTTAAGGACATTTTGACACAAATTGATGCTCTCATTGGGCCAATAACCTGATACTTCAGCTTTATTTCTGTTGTAAACCTGATAGTCAGATGGAGAAAGAAGTCAAACAGGATTGATTCAGGTCCAGAAATTCTGATTTGATTCATCTCCCCCATATCAATATCCTCATAAAACGTAAAGCTGAGAGCCAGCACAAAGACAGTAGTCATTTCAATTAAACATTGCAACTCGTTCTGTCAAAAAATGTAGAATTTTGAATGATGCAGTAATAATTCTTAGCCATTCCAAAAGAGATTGCCAAATTCCTAAGAAAATTAAATTATACACGGTGTCGTTTTACATCAAAGTATCTAGCTAAATTGCTAAAAATATATACAGCTATATAGATATGCATTTCTATCCAGCCTATCAACCAGGTTTTATCTGCATCACATCGAATTGTCCTGAATTTCAGAATTTTCTATTCAATTAAGTCCTACTGTCATCGTAGAGTTGTCTTCTTGACAACGGGGATGAAAAAGCAGGCTGAATAATAATAAATATCTTAATGAAAGCTGGCTTTCAAATAAGATTGATATGTTTTTTGAGTAGCATGCTATAGAATATAAGAAAAATCAGTTGGTTGATACCTTAATTTCTCCCCATAAATAGAGCCCAAATCATTTTCAGTCAGAGAGGATTGTCCCATTGTCATCTTTTCCTATCATACCATAATTCACTTTGTCTTTCCTAATTTCCATGCACTTCTGAAAACTAAACCTAGACCCACCATATCTCCCAGATGCCCATGGCCTTCAGTGCTCTATCATAAATAGTCTCCAAGTGGCTAGAAATCTCCCTAAATACCTATTACCAGACATCTATTTATAACATCAGTGTATCATCCTTTACTTATTATCTGTGATCCACAGGCTCTAGTTAGAGAATCTCTCAGAAGCCCTAGTCTTCAAATTTTCTATTAACTTTTCAATTTGTTCATATAAAACATGCACAATATTTTTGGAATTTGTTGGGGAGAAAACAATTCCACTCACCACATTTTTTCCTTCATTTTGAGCATCTCGATAATCAGGATTAAGCTAAAAAACAAAACAAAACAAAACAAAACCAGTTTTAAATTGCTATTAAAAGCACATTACCAAGACCAATGATCTTTAATTCAGTTCACTATTGTATCCTTAACTAAACTCAGTATTTAAAAAGCTTCACAAAGAAGCCATTACTAAATATTACAATTTAGAACATTACCTTAAATTCTAGCTGCAGGAGACACGAGCTAAAATGCCATGTTTATGGCTTTTGTTTATATTAGAACAATTGACACCTTTGAATAAGTGAGAGCTGACAATCTCACATCCTCTGAGGAAGCCTTCAAAAGAGTTATCATTTTGCCCACCACAAAGTCTGCCATTAACCAATAACTGTTTTTAAAGTTAGACCAAAGGAAAGTCTTAACAATGATCCGAGATCATGCTCCACATGCTGTATATACAAGACAAGAAAATCAAGCAAAACAGGAGCCATATACCAGATATATATGTCAGATATGAAGGCTGATGCGTGAGTATCATGAGGGTTAGGGGTCAGCCCAGGGAGGCTGATGAGTTTTAGATATGCTGAGTGTTGATCCACATATTTCCAGCTGGCTGGAATCCATACCTCCTGACTCCCACCTGATGACACAGTCTCAAAAGGATGTCTGCGTTGTACTGAAATAACTAGTTCATAATTTGCAAAACAGCAAACTTGTAAGGTATTTTTCTTTAAATAATGAGTCGTTCACTCGACTTTAACTATTTCACTATGAATATGTTAGTGTCTATAACACATAACCACTTAAAAGTCTCCGTTTAAGGGGCGCCTGGGTGGCTCAGTCGCTTAAGCAGCCAACTCTTGGTCTCAGCTCAGGTCACGATCTTGCGGATCATGGGTTTGAGCCTCGTGTCGGGCTCTGTGATGGCAGTGCAGAATCTGCTTGGGATTCTGACTCTCTCCCTCTCTCTGCCCCTCCCCAGTTCACTCTCTCTCTGTCTCTCAAAATAAATAAATTTTAAAAACTTAAAAAAAAAATAAAGTCACCATTTAAAATGTAAGATCAAGAGTCTTTCTCAGAATGACACTTGGGTAGTAGCTCTGAGGAATGTCTTGTCTACTTAATACTAAATATCAATGAAGGTGCTAAAAAAAATCAAGAAAACAAAGCAAAAAAGTCTCAATCTCACCAAAAACTAAGCCTGAAAAACAACCTAAACCCAAATCTACAATGAATTGCCAGTAATTACAGAACAGCCAAAGCTGGAGGAGAAGCAGACAGCTCCCAAGTTTGGCCTCCTGGCATTCCTCAACCCCACTTCAAGCTAGCACAGTTGAGACACATGCTGTGGTCCCCGTCTGTCCAAGCACTCAGAGACCCCAGTGTCTGCCCACCAAAAACCTGCCCAGAAGTGTATAGTGCTGAGGGGCCATTGTCAGACTGAGGCGAGACTTGTCTCCCCGGGACTCCCATCTACTACCCGACTACCTCTATCTTTTCATGACCATCAAGATGCGACGAAGCTCAGAAAACAAATGGGCGGAAAGTCAAGGGAGCAGATGATAGCAGAGGGCTTTCTGAGAAGCACTGCCTGAAGAAAGGGAAGAGAAAGAACTGTGGGAATCACATTGCCTAACCCTGTAGAAATAGCAAAGAATAGAAGTGCTATAGAACCCAGGGACGCAGAGTCGCCATCTGCTGGGCTTGAGACCTGCACTGCATGCAGTGTGTCCGGTCAGCCCTTCAGCTGAAGACTGAGAAAGAGAATTGAGAATTTTTAAAAATTGAATAGGGGTGGCTGGGTGACTCAGTGTGTTAAGCGACTGACTTCGGATCAGGTCATGATGTCACAGTTCCATGAGTTCGAGCCCCGCATTGGGCTCTGTGCTGACAGATTCTGAAGCTGGCTTCAGATTCTGTGTCTCCCTCTCTGCCTCTCCACAACTCACTCTCTCTCCCTCTCCTTCCATCTCTCTCTGTCTCCCAAAAATTAATAAACATTTTTAAAAATATTTTTTAAATAGAATATAAAGGAGCACCGGAATGGTTTGGTTGGTTAAGCTTCCGACTCTTGCTTTCAGCTCAGGTCATGATCTCACGGTTTGTGAGTTTGAGCCCCATGTTGAGCTTTGAGCTGGCAGCACAGAGCCTCCGTGAGATCCTCTCCATGCCCGCCCCCCCAACCATGCACACACTCTCTCTCAAAAATAGACTTAAAAAAATAAAGTAAAATGAAATAAAAAATAGAATAAAAAGACCATCTACTCAATCCATCTGGTTCTGCACAGAGCCCACTTGTCTGAGGGTAATAAGGAAGAAAGGAAAAAAAAAAAAAAAAAACTTGTGACTGATTAAAAAGCATGTTAGAAGGAGAAATCTCCTTTTCACAGAGTCTTTCTGAATATTTTCTATGGCATAATGCAAAATAAATTTTCAGGAAATGGTTTGGCATATTCAGGAAAGCGTTAGTAAACATTTCATCTACATAAAGGCAAGAGAATAAATTGAACAGCTAAAATATAATAAAGAAATACTTACATAAATAATAATATTAAAATATAAAGAATGATAAAAAGAAGTTAAGAAAGATTCCACTAAAAATGAAAACATGAATACAAAAGTAAACTCCATGTTGGCAGCAATAAAAATGCTACAGGAAATGAGGGATAAAAAAATGAACAGACATCTCTTAAGACAGAGGAAAAATATAAAGAATTAAAAATTAGGAAAAAGAAAATAGTCCTAGAGGACCAGAGAAGGGTATATCAATTAACAAAAGACCAGCGTCCTGTAAAGGGAAAGAGATTAGTGGAAAACACAAGAAATAATCAAAGATAACACAAAATAAAGTTTTGCGCAGCTGACAAACTCTATGTAGGTATTACCATACCCCAGGAAAATCAACACATTCATTTAGAGACAATGAGCAGGAGAGACAAAAGGTAAAACAATGGTAGGAACATAAAAGATGGCCAGAAATTAGGTGTAGACAAAATGGAGACAAAAATGCTTACCACATAACAGGAGAATGGATAAATAAAAGGTGACATTTTCAAACAATGGAGTACTACTCAGCAATAAACACGATGAGCTATAAATATAACACGAAGGATGGATCTCAAATATATATATACAATGGGATACTGTTCAGCTATAAAAAAAAAATGAAATCTTGTCATTTGCAACAATAGGGATGGACCTTGACATCACTGTGCTAACTGATACAAGTCAGAGAAAGATCTCGCTTACATGTGGAATCTAAAAACAACTAAGCTCATACATACAGAGAACAGACTGGTGGGTTGCCAGAGGTGGGAGCTGGGGAGTGGGTGAAATGGGTGAAGGCTGTCAAAAAGTACAAACGCCACTTATAAGAAAATAAGTTGTGAGGATGTAATGCTTAGTATGGCAACTATAGTTAACAAGACCGTGTTACATATTTGAAAGTTGCCAAGAGACTAGATCTTAAAAGCTCTCATCCAAGAAAAAAAATTTGTTATAATTACATGTGGTGATGGATGTTATCTAGACTTAACTGTGGTAATCATTTCACAATATAGACACATACCAAATCATTGTGTTGTACATGTAAAGTAATATAAGGTTATGTCAATTATATATTCTTAAAAATATTGTTAAGTGGAAGAAGCCACTCATGTGACTCCATTTACATGAAATCTAAGGTCAGATAAAACTAAACTGTGGTTAAACAAATTAGAAAATGTGGGGAGAGGGTACAAGGGAGAGGGGTGGATAGAAAGTAGAATCCAGCCAAGAGTCACATGACCACAGTCCCTCAGGTTTTAGAACTAACAATGGGCAGCAGGGGAGAGGTCAGAAAATGGAATCCAGGGGCACCTGGGTGGCTTAGTCAGTTAAGCATCCAACTTCAGCTCAGGTCATGATCTCATTTCTTGGGTTCGAGCCCCGCATCAGGCTCTGTGCTGACAGCTCAGAGCCTGGAGACTGCTTCCAATTCTGTGTCTCCTTTGCTCTCTCTGCCCCTCCCCCACTTGTGCGCGCACTCTCTCTCTCTCTCTTAAAAATAAATAAAATCATTAAAAATTAAAAAAAACAAAAGGAAAGAAAATGGAATCCAGTTACAAGTTGCCTGTTAGTGATAGGCCAACAGCTGGGGAGATTTGAGGCTGAACTTTCTTTTTCTATGGAGATACATTTCTCAGGCTCCTTAAATTCCTTTGAATTGTAAATAAAAGAATTAATCCCAAAATGGGATTATTCTTGCTTTTGGAATCCAAGAGTGAAATATAGAAAGTCAAAAAGATAGTGAATTAACTGGCCTCCTGTCTACTGATTAATCAAACACAAAAAGACATACTTTTACCTGGTAGTGATGATAGTTCACGCATAGTGCCCAGGAGGGGTTTATCCAGCTATTTTAGCCAAGTATCATTGTTTTTTATTTTTTTCATTTGTTTTCAATTTGATGAATTCAGATTTTTTTCCAAATTAAAAAATTATCCATACTAAAACTATAGCTATATTACTTTCTGAAAGATATGCAGCCTGTTTAAACACGAATATATCTTATGATCAAAGTTTTTATTCACTAAGCATTGTAGCAGTTCACCACAGACACTGTGAAGGAAATTCATGCTGGAAACTGTGATGTATCCTAACTAAAATGTGTACAGGGACAGCAATTAACGTACCTAAGTCAAACACAAAATCACATATGCCCTCTGAAATGTAAGTTATATTCTACCCCAAAGACAACACTACTTTCTGAAATTCAGTCTTCACGTATTTCACCCACTCTGGGTCAGCCAGCCCAATCCCTAAGGGAAGTCTAAGAGCTAAATTACAGATTCCGTTCTGTGAAGACATACCCATGAGCTTTAGAGGAAAGGTCACTTAGGCAACCTTTTCACCTTGGAACTCAGTGTCCTCATATGTAAAATGACAAAAGTCTATGACCAAAGCCTAATCACACTAAGTATATGGCATTCAATTTTATACACTCGTGGCTTTGACAACAATACTGAAGATAGTGCTAGATCAGTTAGATTTTGCCCCATCTGTGTC